GTTTGTGTTTGTTCTTGAATTTCCTTTCCTCTGATGATAATAGTGAACCATACTCATTTGGAAAGTTTATATAATATAAAGAAGGAAAATCTCAAAATCTTACATCTGTAGTACCTTCAGTTAACAGTATAAAATGAGTGATTATTGCCATGTTTTCTATGCATATTGTGTTTTACATAATTGAAAACAGACTATATATAAAATTTTATCTTATTTTTAAGTATTTGTACTTTCTCTTGGTATGAGTAATTTTCATATATTTAAAAAACTGAGTCTTAAGAGAACAATTATGTTTTTAAGAGTATATTGAGTCAAAAAGTAACACAAGATCTAATTTATGGTTTTTTTTTTAAATAAAAGCAAGAAAAATTGCTGTGCTAGTAATATACTGGTAATTAGTCATATCAACTTCCTTAAAGTGAAGCACTCAAATACTTGACTTAAAAATAAATTTGTAGTGCCTCTTCATTAATTCATCGCTGAACGATATCTGAATCTCTCATAATATTTTGTCCTGAATATAGAAGGGTGTTTCTTAAGTTCTTTTGGTTACTTGTTGGGTCACAAACCCTCTGAGAATTCAGTGAAAGCTATGGACCTTCTTCCCAGACAAATGCATATTTACATAAAATACTGATTATAATGATAGTTAATTATGATATGCAAGGTACTCAGCCAACTGCCTTACTTAATTTTAGCAACATGAAAAATGTCATCAATGTACCTGAGCTATAAATTTGGAAGTTGTTATCTTGGTGAATGTCTTGGTGTGTATGTGTTCACCATAATAAAATTAGAAACAATTTTTTTAAAGAATATTTATTGTTGTTGCTCTTAGGTACCTCCAAGTTGGTTCCAACCCTTAGCAAATCTGTGTGTAATAGAATGAAGTACTGCCTAGTCCGTGCCATCCTCACAATCATTGCTGTACTTGAGCCCATTGATGCAGCCATGATGTCAGTCCATCTCACTGAAGGTCTTCCTCTTTTTCATCGACCCTCTATTTTTCCAAGTATGATGTCCTTCTCCAGGGATTTGTCCCTCTAGATAAAATGTTCAAAGTACATGAGATGAAATTTCACCATCCTCTCTCCTAAGGAGCATCATGGTGTACTTCTAAGACATGTTTGTTTGTTTTTCTGGAAGTCCATGGTATATATATTCAGTATTCTTCGCGAACACTATAATTCGAAGGCATCAGTTCTTCTTCATTCTTCCTTATTCATTGTCCATCTTTTGCATGTATATGAGACAATTGAAAATACCATGGCTTGGGTCAGGCACACCTTAATCTTCAAAGTGACATCTTTGGTTTTTAATGCTTTAAATAGCTCTTTTGCAGCAGATTTACCCAATGCAATATATCATTTGATTTCTTGACTGCTACTTTGATGGACATTGATTGTGGATCCAAGTAAAATGGAATCCTTGATAATTTCAATCTTTTCTCCATTTATTGAGATGGTGTTTATTGGTCCAGTTGTAAAGGTTTTTGTTTTCTTTATGTTGAAGTGTAATCCATACAGAAGGCTGTAGTCTCTGATCTTCATCAGTAAGTGCTTCAAGTCCTCTTCAGTTTCAGCAAGCAAGGTTGTATCATCTGCTTATTGTAAGTTGTTAATGAGTCCAATACTGATGCCACATTCTTCTTCATATAGTCCAATTTCTTGGATTTTTTCAGCATAGAGATTAAATAAGTAGGCTGAAAGGATACAACACTGACATACACCTTTCCTGATCTTAAACCACATAATAACCCCCTGTTCTGTTTGATCAACTGCCTCTGTTATTGTTATTCTCATTTTTGAGATAAAGACACTGAAGCATAAGGAGATTAAGTAATTTGACCAAGCTCAAAGAACCAAGAAATGAAGATCTGGGGCACAAACTCTGATTTTTATGGCCCCAATGACGATTCCCTTAATCACTGTGCACCAATTTTAGAGAACTCATGAATTCCCTAAAGCCTGTTTATTGATACTCAGATGAAGAGCCCCTTAACTCACTGACAGTAAAAGAATATATGCAGTTAATGAATCTTGCTATTTGTGTAACACATTTAGTTAAAACAAATATTTGTTGAACATCTACTATTTTTGAATACTTGTTCATTTTTGTGATATGGTCCTTGCCCCTAAGGAGTTTAGTATACATGAGAAGACAGTAATTCTATACATAAAGCAATGAGAAAAATATCAATATGAAGTTGAATATATAGTAATTAGACATTTCCATAAACTATTCATGAAAATTTATCTCTTTGTTATACCACAATATAATTGCCTTTCATTGATTCCTTGCTTTATAAAAGGTAGAATCAATCCAAAAGGCCACCATATCCTTTGGGAACCTGGTAGATTCAGTGTGTCATAAAAATGAGGTCTATAAAATGAGACTCTGAAAACTAAATATTCATCACACCTAGATTCCTGAATGGTTTCATCAACATCATCTATTAGCCCCAGGGAGCATACCCAATAATGAGATTCAAGAATGTGTGGCCAGCTCCAAAGCATTCAAACTGTGTAGCACAAGATAATTCTCCTGGGATGGACATGTGTAGGGCAGCAGAACACCTTGATAGTTGCTTCATTTTTGACTCAGGTAAGGGTCCACCAAAAAAGAAAGCATAATAAATAACTTAAAAAGTACATAGATACGCATCTTCAATGATACAGCATAGCCTGAGTCATGTAGGAGCAATAGTGATGACCTACCAATCTTGGATGAAACCATCAGGCATGGGAAGCTTATTTGTCATGGGAGCTGATCCCCTGACAGTCCGGGCTGTCAAAAAGCGTGGCTTGTGTATAATTCAAAGAACTAGTTTTGACAAGAGGATTTGTTGTTGTTGTTGTTGTTACGTGCCATCAAGTCAGCCCTGACTCATAGCGACCCCTTCTTGGGTTTCCGAGGCAGTATCACTATGGAAGTAGATTACCCCATCTTCCTTCCGAGGAGTGGCTGGTGGGTTTGAACCGCCAGCCTTCTGGTTAGCAGTCAAGTGCCTTAGCCACTGTGCTACCAGAGCTCCTATAGGAAAATAGAGCAACTGCTTTATTTGAAATTATTTGGCTGTTATATGAAGAATGGATTATATCAAGCTTTCTATTAACTTGGCCTTTATAAAGTATCTGCACAGTTTTAAAATCTTACTCTTTTAAAACTGTAATCACTTGGGCTATATATATGATAAAGATAATTGTAAAATGGCATTTCAATTTTCTTCTCAAAGCGAATAGAAACTTTACTGCTGTGAATCGTATTATATAGTTTATCTCCTTCCATTTATGAAAGCCATTTTTATTTGAAATGTCTAAAATAATATTTTGTGCACAGTTGATTAATATAGTTTTGCTAGATTTTAACTAATTTAATAAATTGTTTTGAAATTTTATTTCACATAATATTCCCATAATCTCTACAATCTATGTTGTTAATGTTATTTTTAAAAAATGTTCCAAGGACTTTATTATGAAAACCTTTCATGTTTAAGAAGCTCAAGTAGAAAATATTTTTAAACAGCAGAAATTTCTATCGTTGTCTTTAGTAACTGTTGACAAATCGTCATTTGAATCTATCCAGCTGCTGTTGTTGTTGTTGTTGTTATGTGCCGTCAATTCAGACCCAACTCATAGCAACCCCTCCTTGGGTTTCCAAGGCAGTATCATTACGGAAGTAGATTGCCCCATCTTCCTTCCAAGGAGTGGCTGGGTGTTGGAAATAGTTTTTCAGCTATATATGCAAATATATTGATTGATTTTATTTAATTTCATAAGAATATTATGATACCAACCCTTAAATTCAATCCTGGAAAAAAATAAGTTGAGAAAAAAAGCATTCCTTTTTTTCACATTTGCTTTGAGCAGAGAGACACTTCAGTTGGTTTTGAGATAAATAGTAGACTGATGTTAAATGTCCATCATATTTTGGCTTCACAGAGAGAACAGAAGACGTAGTAGCTGTCTAACTTTTGAATTTGTTTGCATGCTCATATGTGTGTGTGTGTGTGTGTGTGTGTGTAGGGAGCTTATACAAGACCTTTTGATTTCCTAATAAGCAGGACTCAGGGACAATAAAACTTGACATTCTTAACTGTTACTAGTATCTGTCCCTATAGCCCTATGCAGTTATCTTCTTGCTAACGATGTAGAAGCCAGAGTCATAAACTGAGCATGTACCCAAGGCACTATTGTAAATTTCAGATAGCATTCATGTGGTCTCTTTGACCTAAGACTAAACTAGGGTAGAAGGAAGTGAAGAAAGAATTTTTGAGAGTGGAATAGAAGTAGAAGTCAAGGACAAAGAATACACCAGAAGCTCAGACATGTGCAAATGTTTTCAAGTTTTTGCAATGAGGTTTATTCAGCTGGGTCTTTTCATATCTGCAAATAGTCCTTTACTCAAAAGCCAAAGACTCGATTGGGGCAGCCTCTGCTGCTGAGGTGTGTGTGTGTGTTGTGTTGTGTTAGCAATAATGCACTCATGAGATAATACAAATAATCAGTGAAGGAATAATTAATGATGTGGCAGGGAATATTTTTTGATAAATGCTTGGGGAATGAGGTGACAGGCGTGAAATTAGAAAATTCCTTCAGCGATCTAAAATATAAATAGCTTTCGGAACTGAAAAGAGTTTCACAGCTGAAGATTTTATTGTGTTGAGAGGAAAAACTTCTTTCTCTCTCCCCCTCCCTCCTCCTTTGCAAGTTGTTTGTCCATTCACAAAACAAATACTCTGAAGCCCAGCGCGGCTCATGGGAATAAATTTCAGGTCGAATTAGTACAGTTTCCTTGCTGTCAGGATGCTGGAATTAATGGTGTTTTGATGACACGAATTTTGAAGGGCAAACAAAGAAGCTGAAGGGAGAGAGACATGACTCCTTAGAAGCTTGGTCCTCCTCTCCCCCAGCCTCTCTTGTCTTCCCTGTCATCCGTCTGCCAATCTCCCTGTCCATGGTTAGTTAAAGGCGCTTTTTATCCTCTTTTCTTTCCCACAGAGTTTGCCAGATCCGGCCCGGTGCCTGGGTTCCAGGAGGACACGCTGCAGTTGGCCTTCATCGACTTGAGACAAGTAAGTCTTTGTGTTTTTGTTTTTTGTTTTTCTTTTAAGATGTGTGACTGAAGACCATCAGGTCTTAAGGAAAAGGGGGGGGGAGGGGGATTGGTGTTGGCGATTCACACTGAAGACCCAAGGGGTTTTCCCTGTGTTTGAAGCCACCTCTTTTATTTAGCTATCTGGGATCCTTAGCTATGGTGGAGTTAAAGATTTTGTGGGTAGAGGGGAAGGCAGGGGGTGGGAGGAGGGACCCAGAGGGTACAGAGACTCAAGTGACCCTCAAGTGATGCGACCCATTGTGCTGTAGTTGGCTTCTGCAGACACAGCAAAAAGATAACTCAGCAAACCAATGCTAAGCAGGTGCACTGATGCAGAGACTGCTTGTATGGAGCACTTTTGTTTGCAGAGAATGTGGGTAGCACCATTTAAGAAGAATGAAATATTTTACCTTCCAGTTTGTTGGTTTGGTTTGTTGACTTTTTTCCTGCTGCCTAGGTCTTCCCATCCCCTCCTTTGTAGAATGTGGTCAGCCATGAGTGACTAAGTGGCCATTTATGAAGATGATTAGCCAAGGCCTAACCAGTCATGCTAACCTGACAGCAACCCTATTATAGTGATGTGATGAAAGCTGTTTCTTAAGTGTACCTGAGCTTTGGCAGGCCCATCTGATAGAAATGGCAGTTCTATGGGACTGTTCTTTGTATGCTGAAATGGGTTTGTTGGTAGGCCTTGGTGATTTGGGTATAGAGGAGCAAGATGGGTGGGGGCCCGAAGAGGGAGAGAGTTAACTGGGCTCTGTCATCTCTTCACTCTGAAGATGGATGGGGTTGGATAGAAAGTGTGAATGAAGTAAGAATCAATGACTGATCCTTCTCTCCTATTAAAACAATCTTTTTTTTTTTTTGTCTGTTTTAAAAAGGGGGCTGGCTTTGTTTCTCCTGCCATAATGATGCAGTGCCTCTTGTTTTCAGAGCTGACATAGTTTGCATTCTGAAAACTTTTAGATGCCCAGGGTATTTCTTAAAGCTGTAGGACCCCTTCTATCGATAGTCTCCTTACCACTGTGACTCGATTCATGCTGGAACAGCTTTTAACCCATAATGGATGGCCTGAGCTACCCCTGAATCCTTGTGGATGGGTGGTGTAATCTGTCATCTGATGACAATTCTGGAAAGCCCTGTTAAACAGAAAACAGAAAATTGTGTCTCTATAGACCCGCCAAAACTTGAGGATTCAGGCCACGTCCCAGAAACGTGTGTCAACTTAATATTTGAGGGCTGAGGTGGGGGTTCTCTTACACATAAGGGCTTTCCCAGCATGATCACAAATGGAACCGAGTGTCTCTTCCCACACTTCAGACCTTCCACCTGTGGATTCAACAATTCATCTGAGACATTCAGGTTTTAACTCTTTGACTATAAGGTTGAAAGACTAGGAATTTTCTGTAGAGTTTTGTGGGGTGGTATCTGTTGGGTTTTTCCCCTCTCTTTCTTCTCAGAAACTTCGAAGCCAATTGGCTTTTCTTGGAAAGCAGAAATTGAATTTCGTTGGAGTAGCACATCCAAGGAAAAAAAAATTTCCCTTCTTACTATTCATGAGAAGGAAGTGTGGTCCTTCTCTCTAGTTTGTGGTCTTGGCCCTTATGGAAAGTATCTAATGTTCACAGAAAATGTTAACTTAGAGAATAAGTTAGAAAGCACAACCAGAATAAGGTGCTGAAGTGCTTGTGAGCTCTCAGTGAGCACTGTCTTTATGCTTACATTCCTATTTCCCATTACATTTTTGTACCCAGGATTTATTTAATGAAGTTCTAGTAATAGAAACCAAAACTTCAATTTTTTCCTAATAAAGAAAGAGTATGCTTCTTCCTATTGAATCTGTTATCTAATTTCTACTTATGTTTTTCACTATCAGAGAAGCTCAAAGGGGTGAGTTTCCTAAGGTAGACTATTTTAAAAACTTCCCTAGTTCTCAAGTCTAATACAAGCAGGCCACAGGTAGATTGAATCATTGTGAGAAAAAACAGTTCTTCCACAGTTTGTGCTGAAGATATTTGTCTTTTTGCAGTTCATCTTAGGCATTCTCAGAACATATTTATAGTAGGCGTCTGTTTAAAAGGAGATTTCTTCTGAACTTTCAAAAGAAAAACAAAACTCACTGCCATCGAGTAGGATCCAACTCATAGCAACCCTTCCTTGGGTTTCCAAGGCAGTATCACTATGGAAGTACATTGCCCAGTCTTCCTTCCAAGGAGTGGCTGGTGGGTTTGAACCGCCAGCCTTCTGGTTAGCAGTCAAATGCCTTAGGCACTACACTACCAGAGTTCCCCTTCTGAGCTCTAGAGATGTTCAAACTATAAATAGAATGCCTGGAAATACATTTCCAGAGGTGATATCTTGATCTCAAATGAGGCATGAATAAGTGTCCTTGAATATGTGTCCTTTTTCATGTATTCTCCAGAATGCTACAACAGAATTATTGAAAGTTAATCATAAAAAGCATACAGTATAACCTTTGGCTTGATGCTGGAATCCCTGTATAACCATTCCATAATGTCCTTGAATATCCCCCTTTAGAACTCACTGCTCCAAAGCAATAAGTTCCACCTTAGGACAATCTGATTATTAGAAAGATATTTCTTAAGTTGGCTAAAACCTTTCTTTTCTTACTTTGATCAGTTGACTCTTCATATTTTTATTAATACATTCCCAATTGGAGGATAGGCTTTCTATTCCTGATTTATAGAGTGTCTTAACTGCTAATAATTGAGTGTTTTTCACATATAGCATTATTACCTATCCCCTATCTAGTCTTTATATAGCTGATTTTTATGAACCAAAATTAGACATGTTACTGTTAGTGTCATTTTTCTTCAGGCATGTAACAGGATAGAGTTTATCATTCTAGCCTGTGTTAAACCATTTTAGGTCCTGAGTCATTTATCCAGCTTATTTGATCTTTATGCCCTTTGTAAGTCAAAGATAAAAAATATTAAATATGAATGGCAGAAGTTAAAGGAAAAAGCTAAAGTTAATTCAATTATAGTGTGCACACCTCTGCAAGAAGGAACTCTGACCCCAGTGCAGTGCAGCAAGGATTTTTTTTTTTTTTTTTTACTGTCATTGAATGCATTTGCCTAACTGGTGTATGAGTCTATTCATTTTGATCATTATTTCTTGTTATCTTGTCTGAGAATGTTTTTCAGACCCTATCAATTGAATGATAATATTAAAAAATATTAAAAACATGTTGTTGTTGTTGTTATGTGCCGTCATAGAATAATAAAATCATCTCTGCATAACAGCGGAGTGTCGTTTAAGAGATACAGAATTTTATTAGTAAGCTAATTAGCTGTGTGTAGTGAAACTATTCATCCTTTCTCACCTGTCCTATCCTCAGTTTCCTACTTCCTCAGGAAAAGAGTAAAATGACATTTTGAATGAACAAGCTTCTATGATATTTTACATTTGTATAGCCCTTCAAAGTTAAAGTACATTTACATATATATTTCATTTGTCAGATTTTGGGGTTTAGAAAACCTGCTGTTAAAAATAATGTGCATTAGATAGTAAAAGTGAAAATCTCCTTCTTTGACATGCTATATTCTCTAAAAGTTCATAGATGTAAGATTGCAGTATAACTTCATATGCTTATTTATCAAGTATATTTATAAATTCTAACAAAATACAAATGTGAGTAAATAGTAAATCTGTAGAAGGACAACCTATCAGCTTATTTATTAGCTATCTTAAAGTGGCATGTACATTCCATGTAGTAATTAATCGCTAGCCTTTAATGGTTCATATTGGAATTTACAATACAAGGCCAAGTGTAGGTTCTCAGTAGTTATCTGATTTTTCATCAGTACTGTGGTCTGTGTTTTTCTTCCAGAGTTAAATATTGTAAATGGACAATGGTGGTGAACACCAGAATATGGACTTCAGTTGATTTCATTTCAGTTTATTTTATCAAACTCTAAGTGACTACTATGGAAATACAAAAATGAGTATCATACGATCTCTGCCTTCCAAGAGCTCTGAGATGATCAGCACATACTTGTTTCTAATATGAGGCACACTGTGATGAGTATTACATTAAAAGGATAAAGCATTGTGTTATTATTTCACAGCTTTTGCTGAACAACAAATCACTCCAAAACAATAATTGACTTTAAATAAGCACTAGTTATTTAGTTAGGAACTCTGGTGGCATAGTGCCTAAGGCATTTGACTGCTAACCAGAAGGCTGGCAATTCAGACCCACCAGTCACTACTCGGAAGGAAGACAGGGCAATCTACTTCCATAAAGATACCACCTCGGAAACCCAAGGTGCTATGAGTCAGAACCAACTTGACAGCAGTGAGTTGAGTTATTTAGTTCAAGATTGTATGAGTTGGGATTTTGGGCTAGGTTCAACTGAGCTTACTTGTACTTTGATGTAAGCTGCTCAGTTGGCTGAGAACTGGCTGACCTAGGATGATGCCTCAGCATACCATCTGCTCTGCTCCATGCCATCTCTCATCCACCAGCAGCTTAATGCAGGCTTGTTCACGTGACATCTTGGCAGGATTCCAAGAGAATAAGAGGAAATGTACAAACCCTTTGAGGCCTTGACTTGGAACTAGTAAACCGTTGCTTCCACCACATTCTGTTGATCAGAGGTAACTACAAGGCAAATCTAAATTCAAGGAGTAGGGAAATAGACTCTGTATAAGCAAGGCAATTAGAAAATTATTGAACATCAAATCAGCAGCCAGATTGTATCTTTAATTGCAAAAAGAAGCTATGAAGTGGAGAGGCCTCTGCAGTTATAGGCCTGAGTGTTTATAAAATATTTTATGGAAAAAATAGAAAGTTAAGCTGAAAGGAAGTTAGACATTGATGAAGAAAGAAGGTATTTCAAACATAGAAAAGAGTAGGTTTAAATTAAAAGGAAAAAAAAAAAAAACATTGGAGTGTGTCCTTGTTGGTTTAAAAGAGTCTAGGCTATTTTTTCTCCTTTAAGTTTTAGGGTA